AGGACTCCAGGGTGGTTCTCCAAAACCAATAAACAAAGGCGAGCTGAGGTGAGCGTTCCAAGTCTTCATCAATCCAATAGGTTAAGGACGAGTTAGGGTGTGGTCCACACCCGGATCATCGTCGGCTGCCCCCGTCAGCTTCTCCCATTGGACCTGCACATCCTCAGCGTCACGGCCAACCTGGCTTCGTTTGCCAATCAGAAGGCAGAAGCCACTGACATCACTCTTCATTTTCCCCAAAACACCCTGGCAGCCGCCATGTCGGAAAATTAGACAAACTTTAATAAACAAATTGTCAGGAGACGGCGGGGAGACGGTGCAGACGGTGCTGAGCAGCAAGGACGGAGCTCGAACGCCGCCAAGCAGCGGCAGAAATGTGTTTATCATTAGTCTGTTAAAGGATGGTAAGGATCGGGTCCAAAGTTAAATGTGAGATTTTCAAATGAAACCAAGCAAGCACTTAAAAAGTCTCTCTGTTTGTGTCGAAGTTTACATAGATGGATTTCAGAGGAGCTGAGGTCATGGTGAACACGACCTGACCCTGCTCTCTGTAAGAACCACAACTCTGTCAGACTTTTCAAGGAGCTTTTCGAAGTTCTTGTAGCTGCTATTGGCAACTTAATTTAGTTCAACAGTTTCAGTTCGCCTTCAATTCTGATTGGCTCCATCACAAGGTGAACGTTAGAGTTAGAGTGTTGCCAAAAAGATAATAAAAATGATTACATTTCTACAAAAAGGGAGACTAAATATATAGAATTTTGAAAAAACTAAAAAAATAAGTTGACAGTTAAACCAAGTTTAGCTAATAACGACCTTGCTAAACTGAGGTAAAATTACAGATAAAAGTTAGCTAAGACATAGCCAATGGTTCACCAAGAGCTAATCAGCCAAAGTCTGCTATAGGTTACACAGCTAAAGGTTGGCTAAAAGATAACTAGACATTAACGAAATTGTGATATAAAAATAATACTAAAGAGAAGAAATGAATTGTTATACAAAGAACCAAACTTTGTTTAAAATATAGTGATAATTATTTCAAAGTGAAAATGTGTCAATAGTTGCAAATATGTAGCTAATGGTTAGCTAAAATTGTATTAAACATCCATATCTAAGAGGTGGCAGAAAAATCTATTGTAGTTGTACTTGGTCAAAAACAGCTCAATGTTAAAATAGTTGTAGAAGAGCAAAGGTTTAGTCTGTTACAGTACCTGCCATGTAACTTTTAGGTCATTTATTTCTGTTTAAATCTTTTTATAATTTCATGTGTTTCATGAGTTTTTTTTCCAGAACTTCTCTTTCTTCACTTTCTTGACTCTCGCAAACAAAGTAAAAGGCTTTGGATCAGAGCAGTCAAGGAAAATTAGCCCGTGACAGATCATTAGAGAGCTGAAGACATTACTGTCAGAAGAGAATAGAGTTTGTTCAAAATAAATGTTAAAAATCAACTTTATTTTAGAGCAACATTCCTGCCTCAGATTTACGTTTGCTCTTTCTGGACTTACACCAGGCCTTCATCAGAACTCTGTCAGACTCCATCAGCCTGCAGCTCATTAAAAAAAAACTTCAGCTCTGCGCTAACACGCCGTTAGCGCAGAGGTGCTGTCATCATCTGTCACAGTGAGCCAGCACTCAGAAGGACCTGCTGTTTGCTCTCAGTAAATTATACATGTGCAGCGTCGCTGCTGTGGTTAACCAGACCATGTCCAATAATTTTGTAACCCAGCAGCAGCAGCTTCTCTCTCAAAAGTTTCCTCACAGAAGTGCATTTTTGTACCAAAAAAGCGACAACACTAAGTAACAAGAATAGAAGAAAACTCACCCTGGAGGAAATGTGAAACACATGCAGTTTCCTAACAGACAACAGAACCGTTTCTATCACTGCAGTATTTCAGTTCTACAGTATTAACTTTGTGTAAAGCAGGTCTGTCAAACTCATTTTTGTTTAAGGGCCACATAAAAACTAATTAGATGTCAAGTGGGCCGGACCAGTTCTATCTTAACCTAATTAACTACAAATAACAATAAATGCAAGTGTTTTCTCTTTGCATTCATGCATTTTTTTTGTGTGTATTTTTTTTTTCTTTCACAATTCATCTAACGGGTCAGACTGAACACTCTAGCAGGTCGGTTGTGGCCCATGGGCCGTATGTTTGACACCACCGGTGTAAAGTATTCTACATTGAGCACAGACGCCACAACTAAGGTTAGCTACGTCCGCCCCGTTACAGACAAATGGTTGCAGCCAAACCACGATAGAACAGATGAGGTGGGTCAGAGCCAAAAAACAAAAAGTCTTCAAATGGTGAATATTATAGCTGTAGTTGTACTAATCTGTGAATTTATTACACAGAGGAAAATCATAAAGAGACACCACACCATCCCCACTCACATTCACTCTGTACAGAAAGTCTGGGAATTGAACCATTTCTGTACTGGCCACATGAATTCAAGTACTTGGATGAATATTTGAAAAACAGCAGCATAAATGAAGAATAACTGCTGTGGTTAAAATATTGTGAAGAAATTGAGAAAGTGGCCAAAAACAACTCCAAAATGTAAGGGAAGAGCTAGGGAAATGACCAAACCAATCCGCTAACCTAAACTCATTTAGAAGACGATCAAAATGAAGAAAAGTGTCAACGATGGATCTGTTGTTTTCCTGTTGTCTCCATTAATGAAGATTTCATTAACCTGGACTGAAGTTTACGATGATGTGAGGAGCTTTAACATTTGGACTGGTGACTCATCCCCACTGTCCTCATATAACAATAATGAGCATCATCAAGCATTATCATTAGCATCATCAGCTGGACCTAAATGTCAAGGTTCTGTTCTACTGCGTTGGTCTGGTCTGAAATTAAAGGTCAGCTTCAGACGTGATTGGGAAAATTAATTTTATGACAAAAAAAACAACAGCAAACAGGAAGTGAGCTGGACAGTGTGTCAGCGCGAGATGTTTTGGTCTTAGGACAGGGAAAGGTCAGTTGCTGTGATGATGATGATGATGATAATGATCATTATTTTTTTATTATTAATAATTTTTGTATTAAAGATGAAGTACTGTTGGGTAAAGACAGTACAAAAAATACTAACATAACCCAGTACAGACTAGTTTCATTAAACCAAAGTATATTTTGTTCTCAAGTTCTAAATGAAATCCATCATGTTAGGGATGTTTCCCATTATCTTTGTGGAAAATGCTTCAAATATAAATGCCAAACCCAGAGCAACTGTGGCAAAAACAATTTCATTAAAAGCTTCCAGATACAACCGGAAAAGAAATCGAAGCTGGAGGGCGAAGCCAAGTTAGAATTAAAAAGAAAAAAAAAAGTCTAAGGAAATCAAGAAAAGATCAAATATCCAGGACAGAACACAGAGACACGGACACAGAGACATGAATGCAGAAAAAAACGATGATCTCACATAGGTAATTCTCCTAAAGGAACACAGGTGAAAGGATACACATGAAAGATGCTCATTCAAACTAGTTTTATAGTTGACCTAACGTAGTGTTTTTTAAACCTGATAAAAATATTCTTTCAACTAATTCCTATACTTTATAAAATTATGATTTAAAAACACACAATTTCAAACAACTGCATTCATCCACATTCATGTATATGCATCAAATTATCTGAGTTGGCACATTAACAGCTGCGATCACGTGACAGCTACTGAAATGTCTCTGGGCTTGGCGGACATTTTTGATGTTTATATTTTTATATTGCTAACTAAATATTTTACCTCAATTTTTACTTTTGGCATTTTACCTTTTACCTGATGGTCTACATGTTAAAGTCAATGCTTGCTATCTACCTAATATTTTAATTTTTTTTTTAATGTTTACATTTCTATAGTTTACATCAATGTTGGCATTTCCAAACCAGTGGTCACATTTCTTGTAATGTTGAAATATCTTCATCCTGGTCTATGTACAACTATTATGTAGAGTGTTTCATACACTTTCAGATTTCTCTTTTTTGTCTGCTCTGCTCTACATTTGCACAATAGAGCGTGGCGTTCCATGCTTGAAAAATCCTGTTTCTAAAACTTTCTTCCTGCAAGAATAGCAAATCAAAGTTACTCCATTCTATTCTATTCTATTATCTGCCAGAGCCCTGGATCAGAGGGCTGAGGGTCTCACTGTTACCACAGTACTTTCCCACAGTTGCTGTCCCAGCCTTCAACAACACTTTGGTGGACTGAAGATAAACCCTGCTCTCTTTGTTGTACTACTGGTATGTGCTGACATCTGGATCAACACACCCAAGTGGAAACGCTGGGTGGAACCAACTTGGGGCACTCTTCACTCGGTTCCAGTCCCACAGGTCTTAAGACCAATAACAGGCCAGGGGCCAAGTAGCCACAGGTGCATATACACCAGCAGACGGCCTCCAACAACAAACAAGCAGATAAGACGGGACCGAAGGAAGAAGGGGATTGGATTCCATCTGATCGCTCACAGTAAAATATTAGCATCTGTCTTAGGTGTTAACTGCGTAAAGATATGGATTTCAAAGTTATGGAGATCAGCAAAAACAGCCCACATCAAGGTTTGTACTGTAAGATGACATCACAAGGAGCAGCGGCGACGAAGGAAATTATACTATACAAATACAGATTAATCAAAAAATGACAAAAATAATTCCTTATATTGCTGTAACAGTAAGACAAATAACAACAGGTAGTGGTATGTGTTTCACACCATACTGAACCAAATGATGGACTTAATATTGAAAAAAATGTAAAGGTTTAACTCAAAATTAGCTTTGTGAGTCTGTGGGTTTCAGTCATTAGTGCATCTTGATAGTAGTTTCTAGAACACTAGTATGTCTGTAACATGTATAGCTGCTGTGTAATACAGCAAAAATAAGTAAACGCTAAAGAAGTCCTAACAATATGAATTTGTAAACCTTAAATGTTGTTTTTGTAAATAAAATACGACACAGAACTTTCTAGTACATTCCAAAAAAGGAGGTTAATAACATATCTGGACTTACCCAGTTTGGCGCTGAAACCCGTCAACTGGTCGAGTGTAGGTTAGCGACTCTGCTCGCCGGTGGTCGGTAAATCTGGGTTCGCTACTCCGTCTTTGGTAGAGAGAAGCTAATATGTAAATTATTATTTTGGACGAACACGCACTCTTATGTGAGTTTCTGTTTCCTTTCATTTAAACTCGCCATCCATACCTGTTGCTTCGACCCGCACGGAACGTCTTCCGGTTCCACACACCTGGTGCAACGGTTGTAATGAGTGTTAGAGGAACGTTTCCGTCCTTTTTCAATATTCCACCTTCTTTGTATTTTAACGTTCCCCAGTGTGAATTTATTTCTCATGAAGTGTTGGTTATAAATAAAAATAAAATAAAGTGCGAAAATGGGTTAAGTTATATCGCGTTATTTACGTCTGTATATGTCCGGGAATTCTGAACCCCATGGAAGAACATGACAATGGAAATATCTTAATACTATGTATCAGTGTATTTTGGATGATGACTATATATATGAATATACATGAGAGCATTTTTTAACATTCAAGAACACATACTTACACACTCATAAATATCATTAAACACACAGCTACTTATAACCCAGCCCAGGCAGGTCTTAAAATAAAGCCTTTAATGCCACATCAACAATCAGCAGCCCCCTCTGTTCTTGACTCATGCAACCACATCTCACATGAAATATTCATCAAGTAAGAAAATCCCAGCCTTAGGGTTAAATTAGCACCCGGACATCCCCGATTAATTAACGCCTCGTGGCTGCTCACCCACTGATCAACAACAGATTCTGGTTCAATGCTGTGGTGACTCATAACCACTGAGTTCTGATTAAGGCAAATAACCGAGATATTTGGACGCAGACACTTCCTGTCTAGGGCTCAGGATCATTAAAGTAGCTTAATCTAATTAGTCTTTAACTGGGTTTCCTGTTTATTTATATAAACATGGTGTTTTATTCCAGTCGTTAAAAAAATTACAAATGGCCTGTACTTAGAAATCACTTTTCTAGTCCTTATGACCACTTTAGCTTTAGCTTTACACTATTGGTTTTGCTATCTCCAACTTGTAACTTCTCAGTATAGCTAAAATGTCTCTACAAGATTTAAATTTATGGAATCATTTTTCTGTCAATTAAAAAGGTGCTATAAATTGTATGGCTCTAATCTTAACAAAAAATAAAATTAGACAATCAAAAACAAACTAGTAAAAAATATGGAAAATTTGTGCATTAATACTTTCAACACACTACAAGATTCTTCTGGAGAATATTCTGGACCATACATCCACCAGATCCATTATTCCTGAGTTATGACTCTAGCTAGCATTAGCTGAGCTAGCTGGAGCTCACATATGTTTGATCGTGTTGGTTACATTTGAGTCTTTCATGACAGCTACATTAACTTATATTTAGCCAAATTGTAAAGGTTGAAAAAGTGAAGGGTAAATATGAAGATAAACTCTAAATTAGGTACAAATTTTGAGGTTTTGTTGGTTTGATTTCTTTTTGTTGAACAAAACCGAAAATGAAATGCTGCCTGTTTTTCACTGAATGAATCATCACATCATTCACAGCTTCTGGGAATCAGGAAGCAGTAAGGGATGTTGATAGTTAGCTCTATCATTAGAGCTAAGTTATTAATAAAGGCAAATCTGTCAGTTAACCTCACATCTCTACATGATGTCAACCACCCAAACATAAAAACATGGTGGGTGTTCACCTTCATAAACCAGTGTGTGCTTCCAATTAAGAGCGGGTCACTTTAGACATTCATCCCCCAATGTTTCCTTCCTTTTAAACCTTTACTCAGATCCCCTCAGGAGCTGGGTATGGACCTAAATCCACTCCGGATGGTTTGTTTGTGTGTTGGCCCCTGCTTCTCTGTGTAAATGTCAGTGATCTGACAGCGGGACCTGCACTCAGAGCTGCTCCAAACAGTGCTCTTTTCATCTGAACTCTTTGTGGGATCCATTAGCGGTGGAGGTCGGCAGCCGTCGACCGAGCCGACTGTCACGTCTCATTGGCCCAACATGACCGCCTCTCAGGAACACGGCCGCAACAGGAAATGAGATGATGACGATTTTCACTCAACAATTGGTCAAGGTAAACCTACAAGAATGCAAACCACTGAAGGTCATGTTACGTTTACAAATCTACCAAGTTAGCAAAGGCTAATGCCTCCTTAAGTCTGGACAGCCTGAGTCATCTTACAACAACAATAACTAAACTGTACAACATGTGTCTAACAAACCAGGCCACAAAATGACCCATTTCTGGGTTAATGAGAAAATGGTGCCGGAACTTCTTTTTTTAAATGCAACATTACAGCCATGTCACTGGTACCACGTCTGAAACCTGGAGGTGTTTGTTCTTTCTCTGAAATCCAGATGCTGGAGTTGATACAGTTATTTGTATCATTTTTTTAAAGTGAATTACTTGTCATTGTGACACACTTCATTTTACCCATCACCAAAGTGAGCAGGGGGCAGCTTAAGTGCCCGGGGAGAAGTGTTTGCCATGCTCAGTGGTAACTTGACAGCTTGTGGATTCGGACCTCAAACCTTCCGGACTCAAGTCCACTTCCTCAAACACCAAGCCACCACTGCCCTCATTTGTCACTTTAACCCAGATACAGACCATAAACAGGGACTAAAACTTCCACAGGACAGTTATTATGAGCTGTGAACTGAAGCGTCAGCCTGTCAGCCATTTGTTTTGAAATCATGACTACAAAATAAACGAAAAGACTGTAATTCTCTTCATTACAACTCGTTCATTACAGCCCACTTCCCTGATTAATCCCTGGAAAACTCTGCCTCCCTCCTGATGCCTGGTTCATCTCTTCCAGGAAATGGATGTTTGCTTTCATTACTGACTTGAATTCACACACTGAACAGATTCCTTCCCTCTCTGTTTGTGAGGCTTTTCTGCCTCCGTGCTCGAAACATTCAATGAGCCCCGGGCCTCGTGGCTCATCGTCGCAGTTTCATCACACGGGCGGAATTTTCTGAAGGTGAAAGTGAAGCTTAATCAGTCAGTTGTTGGAGGTGGAAACTGGCTCTGACAGCGCACGCTACCGCAGAAGATAGATTTGTGTGGATGTGTTTCGCAGAAACGTGGAGTCTGGAGGACGGACTGAACCTCTGGATCATCCTCCGTGTCTCAGCCGTGATACAACACATTCCCAAGTTTTGTTGTGTTTTTTCCCCAGTGTTCTTCACACTCAGCTTTGTTGTCTGGTTTTTCCAAAATCAGTCCCTCCTGAGAATTTGCCCAAATGTTATTAAAAAGGAAATATGATTAAAGAAAAGTTGACTTTCCCCGACGGTAGCAGTGGCAGGGTTTTTTCTTTTTTTTTTTTTTTTTTTTGCAGTTGCAGGTTTCTGACGGCAGACTGTAACAGGATCTGGGACCAGGACTTGGAAGCTGAAGTGGTCCAACAAGTACAGTTGAAGTGCCCTAATGAAATCCGACCTCTTAATTTTAACAGTACCAAGTAATAAAGTGGACCATTAATACTCCTCAGACTCTTCTTCTTCTTCTCTTCTCTGGCCCATTGCAGCCTCCGATGGTTTTTCCATGGAATCATGGCGGCCAGCAGATACCTTTGATCTCGATCATCTGCGCGTGTCCCAGTCTGCCCACACTTTCCCCCTTGAAGCCATCCAGGGTTGGCCCGTAATGGCCCCGTGGAGAACCTTCGGCGGCTGAGCGCAGACGAGGTGAGCGGACCCGGAGCTCCGGAATTCACCCCTGAAATGTTTTTATCAGCTGCTAAATGGATTCCTGAAACGCCAACCAAATGATCTCGTGAACGCCTGCTGCGGGCCTCCTGCTCCCATACATGACTGCTCTCAGATGAAAAATGCTGTGGGACGTTTTATTGCTCCTGCCGGACACATTGTCTCTTCCAATGGCTGCCTGTCACTGATCTGTAGAATTGAAGGAATCAGAGCTGCGTTCAAGACAGCATCACCAGAGGAAACTAACAGGTGTCTGAGAACACGTCTGAGGACGGGAGAGGTCACTGTCATGACCTCTGACCTTCTTTATTTTACCCAAAAAATGTAAGAGATCAAGAAATTGATGATACACAAATGACAATTGATTAAAAAATGTTAAATATTTTTCCTTGTGTTCGGAAATCTGTTTGAGATGCGAACCTTAATGACTCCCAAAAGAAGAGTCTGCTCTTTTGGCCAGGGTACATGTACGCACAAAAAAATGTGTCCTCCGCATTTACCACTCCCTGGGGAGCAGTGGGAATTTCTGTTGCTTTCTCAACACACCACAGCCAGAGAGGAATTCAAACCTGCGATCCTTTTGGTACCGTTCCAAATCCTCTTAGCGCTAGGCCACATATTCAGTCATGGGTTTATGTACCTGAACGGGATTTAAACCTCAGCTTCCTTGAACCAAGTCGGTGGCACTGAGCTATCCAGCCAAATAAGGAAAGTGGGTTTCATCAAAGATGATGCAAGAGAAAGAGGTCTTTTAGGACTTTTGACCTTGACTTGCAGAAAAGTTGGCGTTGAAAATAACATTCCTCCAATACAGATCTGACAAGGTTTCATCTAAGCCAAGAATGAAGAAATAAAAAAAAAGATTCACAAATAAAAATAGTTTCAGTTCCACTGACGTTGGCAGCAAACCCCATTCAGTTCCCAGGAAACCTGTTTGTATGTGTATTGTGTACTGTACTTCAGAGGAACAGCTATCAGGTCAGTACTACTCTACAGCTTTAGGTGCAGCGTCACTGAATGTTTCCTACTGCAGTACTCAGTACTGTTTCCCTCTGTTTCCAGTCACTGTGCTGAGCTAAGCTAACACTTTTGAGCACAGCTGAAACAAGGTGCTAACAAGACATCTGTCATCGTGTTCCTACTAAATTCTCATTTTGCACATGTTTGGCCTCCGTTTTCTGGCCATCCTCTGGTTTCCACTCTTTTGAAGTTCAGGTAAGAAGATCAATCTCCTCGAAAACTTCCACCACATCCTTTCATATGACTGATCTATTGTCTGTTCCCCGGTTCACCGGCTTTGCCGCGTGTCCAGACTTCCAGGAGCCGTCTTTTTTTCGGTTCCAATGTCCCGCTAACGTCATGAACATGTGCCAGACTTGGACAGGTCACAGGATCAGCAGCGGGCGGCGTCTCCACTGTCACTGGAGCCAATAAGTGAGTGTGAGGTGACAGGTCCCAGACGCTGCTGATGGACTGTCGCACCTCTTCAGTTTCAAACCGGAGCGACTGAGGACGCCCACTGTAAGGCTGGTTTTCACATCAGTGCCTCACTGACACACACACGCTTCACAAACTGT